GGGCGGGGCCATCTGCTATGACCAGTTGGGGTGAGAGAAGGAAAACAGGATAAAGACATGCTGTGGAAGAGAAACAGAGATTAATAACTCTTGGTGGCGCTGTCACTTGGTGTTTGCTCGCTCTGCGGTAGAGTATCACTTCCTGTTCCTGCTCAAACACAGTGGTGTTTCTGAGTAGCTTATTTGCTTAGCAATTTAATTAACAACTTTTAAATACATTCTTTTTCATAGTATAATCTTCACGTGCTTCATCCGAAGCACACTTTCTGTGTACTCACTACCTAATTTATAGCCAAAGTATTCACTCACTTTCTCTGTACTGTTTCGCTAGCTTAGCCTAGCTCGTAGCCAACTCGTTAGCACCATGGCTACTTCACCTGTCCTTTCTGCACTTTCCTGCTCATTGTGTCAGATGTTTAGTTACTCCTCGGCCTCCTTTAGCAATAATGATATCTGTAACAAATGTAGCATATTTGCAGCTCTGGAGGCCAGGATTACTGAATTGGAGACTCGGCTTCGCACTCTTCATTCACCCATAGCTAGCCAGGCCCCTGTAGCTGGTGCAGCCGAAGATAGCATAGGCCCCGCTAGCTGTTCCCCGGCAGACGCCAAGCAGCTGGGGAAAGAGGGTGGGTGACGGTGAGGAGGAAGCATAGTCCTAAACAGAAGCCCCAGGTACACCACCAACCCGTTCATGTGTCTAACCGTTTTTCCCCACTCGGCGACACACCCGCCGGGGGTCAAACTCTGGTAATTGGTGATTCTGTTCTCAGACATGTGAAGCTAGAGACACCAGCAACCATAGTCAATTGTCTTCCAGGGGCCAGAGCAGGCGACATTGAAGGAAATTTAAAACTGCTGGCTAAGGGTAAACGTAAATTCATTAAAATCAAAATTCACGTCGGCAGTAATGACACCCGGTTACGCCAATCGGAGGTCACTAAAATCAATATTGAATCGGTGTGCAACTTTGCCAAAACAATGTTGGACTCTGTAGTTTTCTCTGGTCCCCTCCCCAATCAGACCAGGAGTGACATGTTAGACGGATATTCTTCTTAAATTGCTGGCTGTCTGAGTGGTGTCCCAGAAACGATGTGGGCTTCATAGATAATTGGCAAACCTTCTGGAGGGAACCTGGTCTTGTTAGGAGAGACCGCATCCATCCCACTTTGGATGGAGCAGCTCTCATTTCTAGAAAAATGGACAAATTTATTAAACCCCCCAAAATATGACTATCCAGAGTTGGGACCAGGAAGCAGAGTTGCAGTCTTACACGCCTCTCTGCAGCATCTCTCCTCCTGCTACCCACCCAAAAACCCATCTCCATAGATACTGTGTCAGCTTCCAAAAAGACAAAAAACAAACTAAAAACCAGCAACAAACAACTTAAACATAAACAATTACAAAGAAAGAACAATACAGTATCCACATCTGAACCAAAGAATAAAAAAACAGTTAAATGTGGATTATTAAATATTAGGTCTCTCTCCTCCAAGTCTCTGTTAGTACATGACTTAATAATTGATCAACAAATCGATTTACTCTGCCTTACAGAAACCTGGTTGCAGCAGGATGATTATGTTAGTTTAAATGAATCAACACCCCCGAGTCATTCTAACTACCAGAAACCTCGAAGCACAGGCCGAGGGGGCGGTGTGGCAGCAATTTTTCACACCAGCCTATTAATTAATGAAAGACCAAGACAGACTTTTAATTCACTTGAAAGCCTGAAAGCTTAGCCTCAGAAACCAGTCTTACTTGTTATCATCTATCGTCCACCTGGGCCTTACACAGAGTTTCTGTCTGATGTCTCAGACTTTATATCTGATTTAGTTCTGAGCTCAGATAAAATAATTATTGTGGGTGATTTTAACATCCATGTAGATGCTAAAAATGACAGCCTCAACATGGCCTTTAATCTGTTATTAGACTCAATTGGTTTCTCTCAAAATGTAAAAGAACCCACCCACCACTTTAATCACACTCTAGATCTTGTTTTAACATATGGCATAGAAACTGAACATTTAACAGTGTTTCCTGAAAACCCTCTCCTGTCTGATCATTTCCTGATAACATTTACATTTACAATAATTGATTACACAGCGGTGGAGAGTAGACTTTATCACAGTAGATGTCTTTCTGAAAGCGCTGTAAGTAAGTTTAAGAATATAATCCACCCACTGTTATCATCTTCAATGCCCTGTACCAACACAGAGCAGAGCAGCTATCTGAACGCTACTCCAACAGAGGTCGATTATCTTGTTAATAATTTCACCTCCTCACTACGTACGACTCTGGATACTGTAGCTCCTGTGAAAACTAAGGTCTCTAATCAGAAGTACATGACTCTGTGGTATAATTCTGAAACACGTACCCTAAAGCAGATGATCGTAATCTGGAGAGGAAATAGCGTGTCACAAATTTAGAGGATCATCATTTCGCCTGGAGAAATAGTTTGCTGCTTTATAAGAAAGCCCTCCGCAAAGCCAGAACATCTTACTATTCATCACTGATTGAAGAAAATAAGAACCACCCCAGGTTTCTCTTCAGCTCTGTAGCCAGGCTGACAAAAAGTCAGAGCTCTTTTGAGCCAACCATCCCTTTAACGTTAACTAGTAATGACTTCATGAACTTCTTCGGTTTCTAACAAATGGTCAGCAGCCAGCTGGAGCTTAAGCAATCATAACACACAGTGGCGGTCCTAGCCTGTTTGGCTCCCTGGATTGTACATTAACATAAAACTGTTGTCGGAACCACACACACACATGAAGTACATATGTGTATGCATTGTATGCAAACGGCTACCAAACAGCCATCATAATACATCATAGAATGAGAACAGGACAAATCAACAATTGACAAGGACTAATTAATATTAAAATCATAATGTTTGGAGTTTAGTCTGTTACTGTTGCTATATTTACCATTTCTTCTTGGCGCAACTGTAACGCACATTATTTAGGGATTAATATTAAAGTATTCTGATTCTGATTGTTTCAGGATGAGCTGCCATTATCCATTGACACATCTGCTTGCATCTTTTGCTCGTTTCTCCTCCTCTTCTTTTCTCTTTTTTCTAAACTGAGCACCTGATGACTTTGAACTTGTCTTGTCCATCTTCCATTGGTTTTAATTTCGCACTCCAGTATGAACACAAGTCCCCCAACTCCAGTTTCACCACAACATAACCTAATAGACCTACTGTCATGGACCCGGGCCATGTGGGCCCGGTATTCTCGGTTTTTGTATGTTTTGTATTTCATCCCCTAGTCATGCCTTGGTTCCTAGGTTCTTCTGTTAAGATGTTCCTTATTTGGTTACCTCCTGTGTGCCCCTGTGTAACTGTGAGCCCTCGTGTTTTATTCCATGTCTTCCTCAGCCCGTTATGTCTGTGTTTTTCCCCGTGCTCTCTCTCCTCCTGTTTGAACCTCTGTACTTCCTGTTTGACTCTGCCTGTCTCCCGTCAGTGTTATGTTCACCCCGCCCTGTCTCGTTATGGTTATCTGTGTCAGCTGTGTTCCCCGTGTGTTCCCACTTTCCTCGTTAACCCTCTGTGTATTTCTGTCTGCGTCTCCCTCTGTTCGGCGTCGCGTTCTCCCTCATGTTGTGTGGATCTTCCTGTGTCTACCTGCGAGTGTTAGTTTACTTTTCCCCAGTTTAGTTTTGTATTTCCTGTGTTCTGCCGTGCTAGCATTAAAGCTGTGTTTCTCGAGTTCATCCCCGTGTCTGTGAGTTATGCATTTGGGTCCTCCTCCTGCTTGCCACACAGCGATCCATGACACCTACAGCTTAGTTCACAGATTCACTTTGTCTAAGGTGTATTTCTGGGAGTTCACACAACCCAGGATTCAAATCATGAATACATAATGGGCTTGGATTTACATCATTATAAATGAAATTTGCTCTATTTGGAAGCAGCCGCCCCCCCTCCCCTGTGTGAGACTTTAAATCATCAAACTGTAAATTATAAATTTTAAATTGTTATTGATGCCTTTACCCCGAGTCCTAAAGAGTATATTTATTTTCTTACGCTTCTTATATTTATTGTTTGTTTACTTGCACTGCTGTAACTGGAGCCTCGTCGTCTCGTCTCTCTATATACTGGATTGTATGTAGCAGAGATGACAATAAAGTTTACTGTGACTTCAGCAGCGAGCACGCGCACCGAGGGCTCTTGCGCTCACTTTTCGTGTATAGAATTTCGAGAAAACATCGGTGCAAATTATAAGTCTGTATCATGATGTCTGGTGTTTTCGTGTTTGTTGGTTTGTTTTTATTTTTGTTTTATTTTGCAAGTTGGTTATTAGATGCTGCCCCCGCCGCCCCGCCCTCTCCTCTCTGTGCAGCAAGCCTCACAAACGGAGGGCGCCCTTACTCCCAGCAAATGGGCGACAGAAAACCGATCGGTGCCTATGCCATTCCCAATATGCGCTGGCTGATGTTGGAGCAGCATAAGTACGAGCAATTTTTTATTTTGCCGATGACCATGATGCCGCCCCCCGCCACGATGCCGCCCCGGGCAACCGCCCGTGTCGCCCGTATCAAAAACCGCTACTGATAACACAGAAGAACAAATGAACACCACCACCCTGAGGTGTGGAGCAGTGAAAGAAATGCACAAAATTATAACCTGGGTCATAAAACTGTCTTGCAAATCCAAACTGGGAGCTGGTTCCAAAGAAGAGGGGCTTTTTGTGCTCCTGCCTTACTTCTGCCTTCTGTCTTTAGAATTATTCACCACATGTAAATCATTGGGGAAAATATGCTTCACTGTGGGAGAGTGGTTAGAGTTTTGCAAAAAGATTCAATAATATTTGCAAATTGTGTCTAACTATTGGAAAACTATTGCATGTCAAGAGTGGTTCTGTTTCACAGACCACTTATTTCCTGTTTGGTGCTAAAAGATGTAATGTATAAGAGGAGGAGTGTATGCTTAGAAAGTGCAAAGGGGAAGTACAGACAGAAAGTCAGAAGACTAAATTTTGACCAACAGACCGGAGAGACAAACTAACTGCAGATAAATAAGCCTTCAAACCCAAACCAACACGATGAAGTTACTGCTAATGCTCATCCTCCTACTTATATCAGGTGAGGAGATCAGAATACATATGATGCAATAATAATAACTATGTTGTAAATTGTTATGTTATGCATTTTTAATCTCTTTTGCATCATTGCCTCGAACAATTACCATTAATATACGATCCTCCTTCTGTGGAATTTGCCTGCAGGCCAAGCCTCTTCTGCTTCGACTCTGTTTTTATCTTTAGTCTTTACTCTCAGAGCTTTAAACACCACAAGACTGCAGCAGAAACTGATGAAATACTCGAGTATAATCAATCAGATTCTCCAGTTTCGTAATGATTGAGTTTTGATATTGATAAATATTTTAATTCACGCAGCAGCTTTCTGTTCTGGATTTAAATGCACTAAGTTTATTACTATAATTTAGAAGCTATTTTCAGTTCTTTTAAATTATAGTAACAAACCAAAGTAACCAAATTGTTACTTTAAGCTGTTAAACAGCTTTGTGTCACTGCTTGTCTTGATTGCCAATGTAGGGTCAATAATTCTAAATAAAGAAAGATACTTTGGGTGTGATCAACTCGCGTAACAGTGCACGGCCCAGAACTCACGCAACTCATATGACCAGAAATAGAAGAAACGTTTAGTATTTATATTCTGGATTTTTTTTGTTACATTTATATTAAAAAAGATGATTGATGATGATGATGTCTTTAAGATGATTGCATCAACCCCTGTGATTATCTTACAATGACTGACATGATGTGAGTGTTTGTCTTTAGATTGTGAGTCAGAAACGAAGAGATTCACATCAGAATGGACCGAATTCACCTGCAACTGTCAAAAAACACCTGGAAAATGTCAAATGGTCCATGTAGCTGATCGTAGCTCAAAAACTGAAAAAAAGACTCTCAGAGTAATCCTCAAACAAGATGAGAACAAGGACCCCAAAAAGAATGATGACAAAAAAGAACTGCAATTTAAACTTGGTAAGAGACTCGCTTTAAAATTCAAGTGTTTTTATTTGTTGTTTGTTTGTTTTTACTGTATAAAACAATATTTTTATAAGAACCATCAACAATGAAAAAGACAAACAAAAAAGCTTCCAATAGTAAAAATTTTATCTGCCAATTCAAGAAATTACACTTATTATTAATGCACTATTTATTTTTTTAGAGACATTTTATTTACTTACTTACTCATTTCCTACAACCATTTTGTTAGAATTGTTTACGTTTTTCTTTGTTGTTTTCTTTGCAGAAGAAAATGGCTGTCCAAAGCAATTCAATCAAACTGCATACAAAACAGCTAAAACCACCATCAGATGCGATCATCCTGAAAATAAAACTGAGTTGTGGTTTTTCTGCAAAGAGAAATCTTCTGTCTGTAACAACATTTTATCAGACAGAATATCCTTTCACACAAACACATACAGTGTCTCCATCAGTAATGTGTCCAGTGAGGACAAGGGTGCCTACTGGTGTGGAGTAAAGTTCACTGAGAACAATCATCATGTCGCACTAACAAAAGTAAAATTGAAAGTCGAAGGTGAGTAAATTCACATGTTCAGCCCCCGAGGTCTAAATTTTAGGAAATGGCACAACTAAAATACTGTCTGCTGGCAAATTCTTTCTTTAGAGATTAAAAATTTCAAAAGAAGCCCAGTTGTTGGACAGAACTTCACTTACTGGTGTAAATACGACCAGACTGTCTCCTCAACAACAAAGTTCATCTGTAAGGGAGAAGATCCATCCATATGTCAAGCTCTCATAAACACCAGCCAGCCTGGTATGAACAACAGGTTTTTCATGACTGATAACATAAAAGAGAAAAACATCACGATAACAGTGAGAGAAGTAACATCAGCAGACAGCGGGACGTACTGGTGTGGAGCGGAAACAAAACAACAACGCAGCAACAAGTTCTTCAACAGACTGTCCCTGACAGGTGAGACGTGCTGTTTTATTCTGTGGCTGTCATCTGACCCGTGGTCATTAAGCACAAGACAGACATATGTTTTTTTTACCTATTTTATTATACATTATTCATAATAACTAGAAATAAACTGTATGAACCCTTAAACTGCATACTTACACAAACATAGTAACATACAAAAGTTTTATATGACAGGAAGCTGTTTGAGCTTTAAGATAGGAAAATAATAATAATAACTGTTTTTTACTCTCAGCAACAAAGCACAACGTTTTAAAAAATTACCAAGATGAATTTTTAAAAAGCTGTGACATTTAAGCAAGAGTGTCAATTTTTTTAACAAAACCATCCCACCAGAGATCACAACACAAGAAGAAATCAAAATAACAAACACAAGAAAAAACACTTTTAATTTGCAAACTTCAACAGATATTTTTTATTTTTTGCTTTCAGTACAACCAGCACCACCTTCATCCGCTACCCCTTTAACTACAACAACCACCACAACTGCTGAGAGTCATGGTGTGACAGTAGAGCTGGAGACAGATGGTAAGTCTGAAGATGTCCACGTTGTTTAGTTTTACCTTTTAACATCTGTAAAACTCATTTATTTCCTCAGGACATAAAGTTATGATACATGTGCGTGTTTTACATTTAATTTATGAATTCTATCATATGTAACATGAACCAAAGGCTCTGCTGCGAGTCGTTGTGAGATGTGTGATACACCCTGAAAATTCTGCTGTTCATAAGAAATGGGGAAGTTTCAAGATGGTCACACGTATAAAACATTCACATTGTTTTTATACTATTTTCTTTCAATTGTTCAACAAAGACAGTTTGAGACGTTTATGATGGAAATGTTTATTCTGGTTTTGTGTTGCAGTCATCTTTGGGATTACCACTGCTGTGATCATTGGCGTGGCTGTGTTTCTGATCGGTTTCTTCCTTATTTACAAACGTGAGAACATGCATTATTGCACATCATGAAACACAACTATATACAGGCTATTTTTACCCACATAAACACACCCATGTACTTCTCTATTTGTAATGTCTACTGCTAAAATTTCAAGTTAATAATAGTTTGAAAATTTCTATTTAAATCACACTGAACAAAACCAAATTACTAGAAAATACTCAACATGTGATTTTGCTTGTTCCCTAATTTTTCTTACTTGTTTCTGCCAGGAGTTTCATGTACAAAAAACAAAGGAATTAGTGCATCGCTGCAGCACGTCAAAGAGGTTAGTGTGAAAATGTCTTTAATATAACTGGTGCACAGAGTCTGACCCAGCAATCATGGATAATTGAACAGAGCTGCACACACGCAGATGTCGGCTTACAAAAGTGTTCTAGTCAGGCGTCTCTTATAAAGCTTCAAATGTTTTTCACATTATTGCAAGAAAGAAAAAAATGCTTTAATACATCTGAATGACAATTAAATTAATAACAGCAACTCAACACATCACAACTGAACTTCTTTGAGAATAATTTCAGAAAATATTTAAACTACAGTTTGAATTTGCTAAATGACATAATAATTTTTAATATATATATATATATATTCTGAGTATAATTTGCATGTATATTGTTAATTTTTCGGATGCTATGTGTTGTTTTTTAACTTAATTTTTCATCGCATTCAATTGCAGGACTCTGCCTATGAGGAAATCCAGGAGCGCCTCCAGACGCCAGGAAATGCAGTGGATTCGATTTATGTCACTGCCGGCATGCACACAGATGTCACCTCAGTACATTACTCTACCATCAACTTTCAGAGCCACTCTCGGGAAGCTGGTGGTGAGGAAGTGAATCCCAGCACGTCTGCCTGTGAATATTCTACTGTGGATTTCAGAAAACGTCCAGATAACTCAACCATCACTCAAGCATCCAGACCAGCAGAGGAGAATCTCTACTCAGCAGTCAATGAGCTAGAGCAAATACGAAAATAAGATCAGCTCTGTCAGGAATTTCTAGATGATTTCAGCATTATACATCCAACTTGTAGAATTAGTTTTAGTGAAAATGTGTTAATGTGATGTTATGATTAAATAACGTTAAATATGACTCAGGGGTTCAGCAACTTGTCTTAGGATGTTGAAAATTTGGTTCAGAATGAAGAGTTAGTAAAACAAACTGTAAAACTATGTAGCTGCAAAAACCGCGTATAACCACGAGGAGAGAGAGGTTTTGACTGACTGCTATAGATAGATAGATAGATAGTAGGGGTGCAACAATACACAAAATTCATGGTTCGGTTCGATACTTTGGTGTCACGGTTCGATATTTTTTTGATACAAAAAAATGTTCATGACTTTTTAATTATTATTTTGATTAGTCAGTCTAGACTCAATGCTTGAGGTAGTTAAGCTGAGTGATAATGTTGTGTGTGTGTATTTGTGTATGAGTGTGTGTGTGTGTGTGTGTGTGTGTGTGTGTGTGTGTGTGTGTGTGTGTGTGTGTGTGTGTGTGTGTGTGTGTGTGTGTGTGTGTGTTTATCAGTCCAGTCCCTTTTTGTTGAGGAGACGGATGGCTTGTGGAAAAAAGCTGTTGCACAGTCTGGATGTGTGTGCCCGAATGCTTCGGTACCTTTTTCCAGATTTTTAGGTTTTGTATTGTTGATTGTAATTTATGCTTAGAAATATTTAACCATATATGCTTAGAGGTGTATAATCAATTGTGTAGTGATAGGATGTGTGATCTTTAGCAGGCTGCAAAGGCTTGGTGTGTATTCCACACTGGAATGCACACCTACATCCTGGGAGCATGGGAAGAGGTCGTACCTTGTTTTATTGTTTTATGGTAGGATTAACGTAGTTGAGTCTAAGTGCCTTTTACATATAGATGAACTGTTGGATTTTCCAGACCAGCAGGTTAAGGGAAGTTGTTTATGGGGTCACACTCTGACCCCCCCCCCCCCCCCCCCCCCCCCCCCCCCCCCCACACACACACACACACACACACACACACAGTATTCTTTGTTCACATGTATACGTATGTAAGATGTTATATGTTAATGACCCTATGCATATTCATGTAACCACAATAAAAGGAGTGCTATGGGGAACCTGGCTGAGAGTCTGACGGAGGTCAAGTGGTGGAACGACACTTGGCTCCAGGCAGGTCTCCCTCATGCATGAGTAACAAGAAGAACTTTGCCTACTTGGTGTTCAATGCTTTTGCTGTGTTTTTTAATTGTCTCATTCCAGCGGTGGGCCTGTGCTAGACGGACCCAACACAGATGGTAGGAGTGTGAAGAGTGTGTGAGAGGGGTGTGTCCGATCAGCCACAATGCTGGTGGCTTTGCGAATACAGCATGTAGTGTAGATGTCCTCAATAGAGGGGAGAGAGACCCCGATGATCTTCTCTACTGTTCCCACTATCCGCTGTAGGGTCTTGCGGCACAGTTCCCAAACCAGACATTGATACAGCCACTCAGGATGCTCTCAATAGTTCCTCTATAGAAGGTGGTCAGGATCGGTGGTGGAAGCCGGGCCTTTCTCAGTCTTCTCAGAAAGAAGAGACGCTGTTGGGCTTTCTTGTGCAGGGAGCTGGTGTTGAGCGACCAGCTGAGGTCCTTCTCCAGGTGGACACCCAGGAATTTGTTGCTGTCGACGATCTTCACAGAGGAGCCGTTGATGCTCAGCGGTGAGTGGTCGCCTCGTGTCTTCCTAAAGTCAACAACCATCTCTTTTGTCTTGTCAACATTCAGAGACAGATTGTTGTCTTTACACCAGTCCGTTAGTCTCTGCACTTCCTCTCTGTACGCTGACTCGTCGTTCTTGCTAATGAGACCCACCACGGCCGTGTCATCAGCAAACTTAATGATGTAATTCGAACTGTGTGTTGCTACACAGTCATGAGTCAGCAGTGTGAACAGCAGAGGACTGAGCACACAGCCTTGTGGGGCCCCAGTGCTCAGTGTGGTGGTGCTGGAGGTGCAGTTCCCGATCCGTACTGACTGAGGCCTTCCGGTCAGAAAGTCCAGGATCCAGTTGCAGAGGGAGGTGTTCAGGCCCAACAGGCTCAGCTTTCCGATCAGTTGTTGGGGGATGATCGTGTTGAATGCTGAGCTGAAATCTATGTACAGCATTCGAACATGTGTATCCTTCTTTTCCAAGTGTGTGAGGGCAAGATGGAGTGCAGTAGAGATGGCGTCGTCCATTGAGCGGTTATGGCGGTACGCAAATTGCAGTGGGTCCAGTGAGGGGGGCAGCAGGGTCTTGATGTGTCTCATGACGAGCCGCTCGAAGCACTTTATGATGGTGGGTGTAAGTGCAACAGGACGGTAGTCGTTGAGACAGGACACAGAAGACTTCTTGGGCACGGGGACGATGGTGGTGGCCTTGAAGCACGTGCGAACGACAGCACTGCTCAGAGAGATGTTGAAGATGTCGGTGAGAACATCTGCCAGCTGTTCAGCACATTCTCTGAGCACTCTGCCTGGGATGTTGTCTGGTCCAGCAGCTTTACCTGGTCGTTCGGAGGAGAGGTGGACTTCCTCGCCGCCACGTCGTTCTGCCTGTCGAACCGAGCGTAGAAGCTGTTCAGCGCATCTGGGAGGGAGCCGTCACCGTCACAGGCAGGTGATGTCATCCTGTAGTTAGTGATGACTTGTAAGCCCTGCCACATGCACCGTGTGTCGCCGCTGTCCTTGAAGTGGTTGTGGATTCTCTGGACGTATACACGCTTCGCCTCTCTGATGGCCCGAGAAAGTTCGGCCCTAGCTCTTCTAAGCGCCACCTTATCTCCCGCTTTGAAGGCAGAGTCTCGGGTCCTCAGAAGTGCACGCACTTCCGCAGTAATCGACGGTTTCTGGTTGGGTCGTGAGATGATGGTCTGTCTTGCTAGTTTGCGCTGCGCTCAGTGGATCTGCACTTGACAGTGCAGCCTAGGCGAAGTAGTCGAACGCAGATCCACTGAGCGCTCAACACAGACAGCATTGTCAGAAGAAAAGTTGATAAAATAAATAAAAAAAATTGCATTGTTCGATACATATGCGTACCGAACCGAAAGCACTGTATCGAACGGTTCAATATCGATACGAGTATTGTTGCACCCCTAATAGATAGATAGATAGATAGATAGATAGATAGATAGATAGATAGATAGATAGATAGATAGATAGATAGATAGATAGATAGATAGATTGATTGATTGATTGATTGATTGATTTTAGTTGGACAGGGTGGGATTAAGTGAGCGTATGCTTCTTCATATTTCTTTTTGACACCTCTGCTTTACATAATAGATTTTTTAAGATGAATGTCATTTGGTTTTTTGCTTTTGAACCACAAATTCATGACAGGGTCATTCCTGCTGTGGCTCCCTGTTTGTATGTGATGGTGTTGTTACTGTTTCAAGTCACTTCAAACAAATCGTGCTACAACAAGTCAGCTAAGCTGTTATTAAACTGTTATTGAGTTGACATCTTTATTTACTCTTACTGACTGGAGGAAAAGGAGCAATGGATCATGAAGAAAAATCTGTTTTGTTGTTATGTGTTATGTTAGTATGTCGCTGTGCATTTATAAAATCTGAATGCATGACTACTCATATTCATCTATGTCATGCAACATTCAAATCACATTTGCTCTACACTGCATAAATTCAAGCCAGTGATGAAGAACCAAAAACTGCAGTTCCTCTAATGACCACCTGACGTTGTCTAGATAGAGATTGGTCACCAAAGACGTCTGTGTTAAAACACTCAACTTTACAGAAGAAATAAAGATGTTTTGTTTGCTAATGTCACATTGAGAATGATACTCAAGGAAGATTAATACAACTGAAATATTTAATATACTATAACAGTATTTCTGATGATAATTAGCACGGCCCACAGCAGGCGTTTTGTGTTCTGCTGAAGCTCTTCGAAGACAAACTGTCAGCTTTTGCGTTTTTTCAACAAAACATTTTATTTTAAGCTTGTTGTTCATCATCAGCATCTTGGTAGCAAGCTAACCACCCAGCTCTAGGTATAAGTAATCACTTATGCCAACTTATACACAACTGGCTGCATGTGGATTTATAAAAAAGTGTGCATGTGTGTGTGTGTGTGTGTGTGTGTGTGTGTGTGTGTGTGTGTGTGTGTGTGTGTGTGTGTGTGTGACTGCTCTAAAATGTACAGCATATGCAGCCTTTTGTTACCATCTCTCGCTGCATTCAGAATAAATGTTCTAAACAAGTGAATGCATTTGTTTAAAAATTCTGTATCTGTCCTCTTGAATTTTGATTTTTTTTTCTATCACATGCTTGTGTCTGTAATTATGGAATAATTTAAGGTATTTGCAGTTCATCTTTTAGTTCGAAATGAAGTCATCGTTGTTGCAGCTACCTCTCCAACACTGCCTTCTTCCAGAGTTAGACCACATTCTACTTTAACCCTCTGTTCATCTAACCTCAAAGCAAAGAACCAGGCACAGTTAGAGTGTTTTCAGAAGAAACTGCAACACAGTGGGATGTTGTGAAAAAAGATTGCATAACCAGTGTGTCATAGACTTCCTGTTATTTTCTTTCTCTCATACACCACATCATGTATACAATGAGAGGATGCAAAGTATGATGAGAAAAGAGTTGCGTTCAAAAGAAAATTAAGAACAATTGAGAGAAATTTACGAAACAACACTGGCGAGCGACAGACTGAAGAGACAAAGTGACCGAAGGAAACTAACTGCAGACTTCCAAAACCAACACGATGAAGTTCCTGCGACTCGTCGTCTCTCTGATGACAGGATCACTAAAGATCCTGTATATGCATATATATGTTTACTATATTTCAGTGTCTGAACTCTACAAGTCCTATCTGTATAAGAAGGACGTCTACAACCAACTGAAGTTCTCAGACACACAAATTCAATAACTGTACATCACATTTCTCTTTGCTCTGCAGGTTATGAGGCCTTCTTTGAAGTGGCTGCATATGCAGCATCATGGGTTCAATTCAGCTGCAGATAACCAAAAACAAATAAAAAAATATGATTATATTGATACATTTATTCCCAGCAGAACAACCTTAGCAAGCTCACAGAAGGATGTGTCAGAAAATACAGGCTGATTTTCTCTGTAACATGAAAAAAAAATAAAAATCTCAAGGTGGTCATTAAACATCTTGAACAGGCAGGTCGTGGGTACTACAAATGTATTTTATCAAAGATCAAACTTATGTCCTGTCATTAAGAACATGTTATTGGAACCTGGTAAGAAATGTGTGGATGTTGTTAAG